TGACAAATGAGGATTTGCCTACAACTGGTTTAATCTATTTTCTATACTTACTTACAGGCTTGTATTTCAGTAATTGAACATTTCTGACAATTTGATGGCTTATGTAAAACCTTTTTGCTACTTTAAGTAAACAAAAACTGAATAACTATTTCATAGAAAGTTTTTAAAAAATTGTTTATAGCTTCACAAAATCCCACAAAAGCCAGGAAAATCTTATCTATGTGCCTTTATAGTGAAAGGTAAACATACTGAATCTCAGTGACATGGCATACCTACTGGTATTATCCGAGAAAAGGAAGTTGCCTTGCACATTGTGTAATATGATCTGACCAGATTCAACTGCAGATTCTTGCACTATCATGTTCTTGAGCGAGCCATGACACACCTCCACAGCCCCGGGGTAACACATTGTGATGGAGTAGACAGCAATAGACATGGAGAATTTCACTGACGGACAGGTAGGCAAATTTAGAAAGCTGCAAAAGTCTCAGATCAATGCAACTTGATCCTCAGAGGTGAGATTATGAGCAACACCTTCTCACAACAAAAGTCCAGTGCACTCCTCCCGGGCTTGTTCCTTTAAAACAAGCAATCACGCAGCTAGGTCTCAGTCTTTCATCCCACAACCGCTCTGGAACGTTTCAGTATCGTCTTCTTTTCAATATTTGTTTAAGCCTGACACGCAGTGTTATTATTTTTTCCTTCAGGCAACAACTTACATAACAACACAAAGATCATCTAGAATACTTTCTATTCATCAGTTATACCAAATGTAGTTGTCCACATTTTCAGTGACACCATAAATTGCATGCATCTACAGATTTAGTTGCCCGTAAGACAGAAAATAGACTATGGGTGTGACGTGCAAGGCCAAACCCTTCAAGAGTCAAACCACTGAAGGTATTTTCCTTCCCTGCATCTAACCACTTTGCCACTAGATTGCCCACAATGGTTTTTGCACTTTCTTTCCATCTATTTTAAAATAATGTGTCCAATCTCAGTTGCCCCTTTGTCTTAAGCTGTCTATAGAAATAAATTAATTGTACCTCTCTATGTAAACCAATACAGTGAACACAGGAGAAATATATTTCTATTCCTCGAGAACAAGATTGTGGGCAAAAGATGTTTAAGTGAAATTCACACTCCAGGTCTGTTTTGCATGTTTTGCCAGAAATCAAGCAGGAGACTGCAGGTTGAGAATAGTGTGTCACTGTATTTGATAACTTAAAATACTAAAGTGCTACAAGTAATTCTTGAAAAACGGCATTATCTGAAATTAAAAGAAAAAAGAAACACCATTTAATAATTTTGTTTGTATCAAAACTGTAACTGCAGTAACGTTCCTTGGACACTAGAGTGCAGTGCGACCACATGAAAAAAAAGGGAAGTGGACATGAAAAATCAACTTATTTAGGAAAATTTAAAAGAAAAAATATACGTTTTTGGTTATTTTTACATGAGAGGAACACACAGATCTTTCCTTTTCGTGGCAATGCAAGTTACTAAGTTTAAACATTTTTCCCAATTCACTCATACCATTTGAGGTGCTTCAAGAATGACACGGAGGAGGGTGTAGATCCACTAACATCATGTTCATTAATGTTGAAGTGACGAACAACCAAAGTGTATCAAATGTAACTGAGTTGTATAGTACATCAAATATATGTACTATTTTGGGATTCAAACTACAATAATACTCTTCAGTGTTTGCAAAAAATAAAAAGAAAGGAAGCTTCTGTCCACCATTGATTTTTTTTTTCCATGTCATTCATAAGTCAAACCTTTGGGTTATTATCTCAAATTTTTGACTTAATAACTCAAAATTTCAAGTTATTTTCTGAGAAGTTTATTTTTTGTGGTGTTTCCATAAAAGCACATTTGTGAACACGATTTTTATCATTTTAAAAATTAGTATTTGCGCAAAATATTCAGGTGGTACTAGACTGCACCAACTTGCAATTAGATTAGTTGTGATGTTTCTTTTTCTTTTTACAATTTCCCTTTGCATGTATACTCAAAGTCATACACATATTACACATATACTCATAAATCATCACAGACCCGTCACACCCTGCACACAGACCTTTTGATCTGCTGCCCTCTGGCAGACGGTACAGAAGCCTGCAGACCAGGACCACCCGACACAGGAACAGTTTCTTTCCCCTCGCCATCTCCCTTCTTAACAGTTGACCTGTCACACTGCTCCCACTGCCAGACTGCAACTGCACCTTATGTACATTTTGTAGTATTCATTCCACCTCATTCATTTCTGTATTTTATGTATATAAGTTAGATTCGTTATTTATAGTTGGTTTACACAGCTTTGTGTATGTATGTGTAATGTGTATATATAGACACGTGTGTGTGTGTGTGTGTGTGTGTGTGTGTGTGTGTGTGTGTGTGTGTGTGTGTGTGTGTGTGTGTGTGTGTGTGTGTGTGTGTGTGTGTGTGTGTGTGTTTTACATTGCTGTGCTTGAGAGCCACCATCTACCGGAACCAAATTCCCTGTATGTGTCTGCACATATACTTGGCCAGTAAACACGATTCTGATTCTGATTGTGATTCTGAAATACATGTAGAACTGTGAAACGGCAAGAATCTAGTCTCGAGAGAAAGGTGTAACTCAAAGCAAGCCACTATTTCTCTGTTTCTCTCTGGGTGTGTGTGTGGAGAACAATGCGTTATTAACAGACTCCTGGGCTTTTAAAAGAAGACAAAAATTACAACAGCAGATATAAAACCTTTATGATGCAAATAACATCAACAACGAAAGATTTAAAAGCTAGTTTTTCTTGTTTAACTCCACGTAGGCCACAAGTTAGACTATAGTGGGACTGGACCACTTACTGCTGAAAAAATATATGCAGATTTAAAGATTCAGTTTGCAGTTTGCTCTTCCATAAGTGTGGATTATGTGCAGTTATAAACCTTTACAGTCAAAATGTATATTAATATACTGGTTATAGTGCTAATTATTACAAATGATTACAGTGATATTGTGAATACTGAGTCCTTGGACATGATGTGAAAGATTTGATCAACTGTACTAAAAATATTTTTCATGAAATGTTATACAAAAAAGCAAAGAGTTTAGCATTTCCATTTCTATTTTTTTTTTGTATTAATTTCTAATTGTATACACAAACATACCTATTCTGCAAATTCAAAGATCAAGCTGAAATTCATTCTCTGAATTATTATTGTTGTAATTCAACTTAAGCATGTTTTTTCGTTTAAGTGTGGTTCAAAAATTTCTTTGGCAGTGGACACTGAAGGTTTTCAAGTGACTCGTGATTTCCTGCCACTAGATGGCATAACTGGCTCGTACATAAAAGCGACCTGTTGAGCCTCTTCACTAAAGGCAACTCTAGGAAACTTCTAATACTTCTAATACCGTCTTGTAATACCAAACTGTTATAAGTTCAGGCTATAATATAGGCATTTGAGCAAACCGGTACAAACTAAATAAATACATAAAAATAAGGGAACATTTAAATCATACATCATATCGCGATGAATGAAGTGTTAGAAATAAGTTCTATTAACAGCCAAATTCAGTAATAACAAAATGACTTTACAAAGGTTAATGTAAACGAAAAACATCAACCGTTTGAGGGCTTTATTCCAAAAAGAGATGCATAAATAGAGTGTTCCCTAAATATTTTTTATTTCTGCACTTTATTAAAAGAAAAACTTCTGTCTGTCGGTTTGTCTGTCTCTCTGTTTTTTATATATATATATATATATATATATATATATAGTAGTTTAGTATAGTGGTTTACATGCGGTACTTTTGTTACTGTCACTGTTTATTGTTCATCATCATGCACTGTTATATTGTTATATTGTTATATGTCCCTTACAGTATCTGTGGTCGTTCACGTGGGATGGGGCTATCAAGCGCACAGCTTTTATTTCAGTGTGTTTGTGTGCTACTTTTGTTGTATTAAACAAAGTCATTACACACTCCTTTATTAGCTATTAAATGTCACAAATTATTGAAATTACAGTAGCTGTATGTTCAAGTCAAACAATCGTTATCACTTTATCACTGGCCCCTCAGAGAGCTCTCACCCAAGATTTGTCATTTGGCCTAGTGTGCAGTTAATAAACCTGCGCTGTAGCCGCTTGGGGGCGTCGTATCTCGGTACTATTACAGACGCATTGTCGCCTTCCGTGCAATAAAATGGCAGATATGCCCATCGAAGGCGCCAGGTGAGCAATAAGACAGGCCAATTGAGACAGTTTGTATGATGTCTACACCTATTCACTAGCGCCAGGTTTGCTACATATTAACCAGACAATATACAAATATCGTGTCGCTGATAAATTCACGACACGAAGAGCAATATAGAGGGTAATCAAGGGATGTCGTAGTCTTAGTCTCTGTCCGAAAGTAACACACCTTCACCACGCTGCCTCATCAGCAGTGTCAGTTTCATGTGGCTCCTCTAATGCTGTCCTTTTCCTTTTCTTTTCTTTTACTAAACCGAAACCAAATTGCGGACCTGTTTTGCCAAAAAGGAACTTTTTCAAGATGCGATATTAAATCCAAAAATTGCTGGCCTGAAAACCCCCAAATTCTCATAGCTTGTAAAATTATTTCAAGATTTTCTTTTAAACTGCACCACCTTTCTTTCAGATTTCCACAAAAACATTAATTCATAGTACATTTGTAAAACTCTAGCTTGCATCAGACGTCAAGTGAGACCCATAAAAACGGCGCTGTATTACACCGTGAGGCCTCTTATCCAGGTAGCCATCCCAGGTTCTGACTTATCTTAATTTGACTTTTTGAACACAGCCTAGAGAGACTTCACTCACCTTCACAAAGTAATCAAAAACATGGTGGCAGAAACTTTTGGGACTGTATCGCACAATCCCAGCCTTCTACAGGCCGGTATGCGAATTTAATTGCGAATTGTAGTTTAAAATAGTTCTCCGCTGTATTGGATAAAACGAGAAAAAAAGAAGAAAGAAAAGAAAAGAAAAGAAAAGAAAGGCATTTCGACATTTTATTGAAACTTTCAAGAACACGATGTCGATGTTGTAAACTAGACATAACTCCAATACAACATAACCCACTGACAACTTAAGAAACACAAAAAGAAACCTTCATTTTTTCGAGTATGCGGCACTTTTAAGATCAGACTCGCAAAGTATGTTAATAACAGAAAGATTGTCCACTTTTTTTCACACTTCAACAGCACTTTTTTTCTTTTAAAAACCCTTCTCCAAAAATAATATATACGTTTTTTCAAGCCATTGGTGCAGTGCGTTGTCGTTTTTTCATTCGTCTTAAACAGTAGGACTTCACACACGAGGACAGGTGAAAATACAATGGCACATGAGTGTGAATAACTAGCTCAGTGGATATTTGGGAAGGGGGTAAATTCCATATTTTAAATGGGGTATAAATGCAGATGGCAACAAAAAAGGATAATAGTCCACAAACTATCTTTACACAGGTATATCGACAATAAATTAAGAACAGATCCCTAAAAACAAACTACTCAGTTGTATTTACAAGCAATAACAATATGAAATAATTACATAAATATTTTATATATTCCTATTTACAGCGATGATCAATACCACCTTTCATTTTCATTTCTTTTTTCTTTTATATTTACTTTAAATTCTTGCTTCCCTTTGCCTGCATGCCTGGGTCACACACTTGTCTCGGAGCACCAGTCATTTTAGAATTGGCCTAATCTCATTAAAAAAAACGCATGAAGAAAAACTATTTTTTTCTTTTCTTTCTTTCTTTTTTTTTTTTTTACAGTTCATAACCTAATTGAAAAGAAAATTAAATGAATACCTGATAATTATATTCAATGGAATATCTTCCCACAATTTTTCGTTTAACTTTTTTTTAGTGTTGAAATGACATTCGGTTTCTTTTAGAGGGCATGCAACGTTTTCAATGAATTAAGAGCGTACAACAAAATACAGCAGTCTTTCAAAGGTAGGTCAAACGGTAGTGAATGCAGATAAGTCAAATCAAATCAGAGTGCATATTGAAAAAAAAACAACACTTCACCCCCCATGTGTGTACAATAACGTTAGGAGACAGGACACAGCAGCAACTTCTCCTAAATCTGTAAGTCACACCCATGCCAGCGATTCAGTTTCAATACTTGTACGGTATTCATATGACAGGATACGAGTGATGTTTAATTTAACAAAAAAAAAAAAAAAGAAGAGCAAGAGAAAGAAATATACAGATCAGATGATTATTAAACAAAGTGCATTTCAGAAACGAAAAAGGTCCAACAGTTCACGGTTTGAGCTTTTCTTTAAAAAAAACAACAACCCTGCATTAGTCTACGAGGGTCAGTGATGTCATCACCTTCAACGTGTCTATGTGTTTCTCTTTTCAAGACAACAAAACACCCCATAAGAAGCAGATTTGAAAACAAACAAAAAAAAATCCTAGGGGGACCCGCTCCGTGGCCTGTCTTGGTTTGAGTCGAGTCCACTGACCAGGCGCTGAATGCTCTGAAGCTCGTTGGCCGCGTCTTTCTCCGTGCAAGTCTTTGGGGACATGGAGACCGATCCGGAGGATATTGTGGACGAATGACTGGTAACTTCCGACGTGGAATCCAGGGTGACAGCGGACACTGGGCTCGCTGGTACGATGCCTTCCCCTTTCAGCTCGGCCCCGCCGCTGGCCATGGAGGGCATGGCAGTGGTGAGCAGCGTGCTGTCCGGTACCGTCATCGGGAGAGAGTAGGGGCTGTACCTGAGTCGGGGACGGACTGCGTTCAGGAAAGGGTGTCGGTGCACCGTGGAGGAGGCAGCAGACGAGGCTGCCGCGGCTGCTGCCATGTACGTGTACGGATAAGGGAATAAATTGCCAAAGGGAGACATGGCAATGCCCTGCGGGTAAATGGGAGAAACTGAGAGTGAGCCACATATCACACCGCTGATCACACCATTCAAACACTTCTAACAGAGTAAAACAACACGTGAGCCTCCCAAAAAAGAGGGGGAAAGGCAAGAGAAATGCATTTGAGTTATGATTTTCCCAAAATTTAAAAGCTTCATTTTATCACACTTCATCGAATCTGCTTGGAGATTTTACGTTCGCTGATCCAGAACGAGGATTTGACTTGTAAAGATCGTAGTAACTTCCATGCATTACAAAATATTCAGCCGGAAAGCTTTACGATCCACTCTAAAAACACATTTTGCACTTATTTAAGAATTAAGAAAAATCGGGTTCCCTGATACTTCCGCTAAAGAAACCATAAGGCTTGCTTTGATAATAAATAGGGGGAAATAGACACTTTGTTGTCTATTAAAACATAATGATCTTTCCTTATTTGAGTCATACGGTTTTTTATTACTCACCATTGTGGCTCTAAAATACTAAAATTATAATAATAATGACCTTTTATGAAAACAAAACTAGCAGAAGAAATGTTAAAAAGCTTTTTGTAAGGTTGCCCCAAATCCAGCCTTTTTTAACCAGACATAGTTACTCCAGAATTAACAACAAGAGTCCAAAGTGAAATCTAGTAAAACCATGCCCACGACACCGTGCTCAGTCAAAATACAGCTGCATGACTTCACTTCGAATATTAGCCCATTTGGCCTTAAAACAAAATAAACAAACCCCCGCAAGAACAATACAGCCGCACACGCACAACCACACACACACTTTCTCAAATCGTGTTCACGCTAACTTGTGAGCATTAAATGCATAGTATTATCTCACACGATATTAAATCTGGGCCTAGTCGTCTGTGTTGAAATGCCAATCACGTGTTTGCGCAAAGCTGGCGGTAGGCCCACAGGCCAGAGAAAACGGGTTTTACCTGTGATGCCAAGACGTGTTGCTGCAGATGAAAGGGCAGACCTGGCGCCCCCGTCAAGCTTTGCGGAGGTGATGCCATACTAGCTGTGTCCATGGTGCTCACCCCTCCCGTGGACACGGCTGTCAATAGTGGTCCCATGCCTGCGGCCATGTTTGAGAATGCGCCCCCCATGTTGAACTGACTGGGGTGCAAGAGAAACGGATGCGCGCTCCCTAGGTGATTAAAAAACTGTTGTCCTGTTAGGCCTGTAGGAAATCCAAAATTATGCAGGTGGCTGTGACCTATGTGTGCGCTGTCAGTCTGAACGGTCAAAGGCATGAAACTGTCCTTGCTTATTGACCTACATTCGTCCGTTTTGGGATGGTCCTGGTTCGGGCTCTTGAGTTCTTCTCCAGAGCGGGTGGTACTGGAGATAACAGTGATGGGGCTCTGCCGTGAGTCTGCCTGGCTTTTCTCAGTCCTAGGACCGCTTTCGCGGGTCCTACTAGTAGAGTCACTGTTACTGAACGGATGCCCTTTAGCTGGACTCGCTTCGTGATCCTTCCCGTCCTCTGTGGTGGTGGAAATCTTGCTGGAGTCCGGACCATCTTTATTGTGTCCATCTTTGCTCTCGTCGTCGCTATCCTCATCGCTGTCGCAGAAGTCTGTAAGTAGGAGGAGTAGAATATCAGTTTCCCTTTCGCACATGGGTGAATCATGGCAATAATAATAACTCCTACTATCTGAGGTAGCCCGCTACAGCTGACCCTCAGAGGTCGAATAGAAAACAAACACGCAGGACATTTATTGCACAATAGGAATCCACACCGATGAGGTTTATTTGCATTGCTTCCAATAATAGATGGCGGTGTGTTACACATTCTCACATGGCCTTTTTTGAGTATTTTAATGTATTTTTGCAAATTGCTCCAAAACAGCTGTAGCAGACACAACAGCACCAACTATACTGAGGCTAATCCTTGTTTAATTGTTTATTGTTAATCTGAACGAGACGGTTATTGTAGACTTTCCCTATCAATTTTCCTCATGTAAATGATCAGCTATTCATTCATAGCTTGGCTTCGCAGATTTAATTGAACACATTACGTTCAGCTACCCTGAAAAAGTCTTGGCATAGTGGAAATTTTACGAGTTGACACATAACTTGTGATCAGAGCTGTGACTAGTGGTGGGGTCTGTCAGCCTACCTTTCAGGTGTGGGGGGCCCACTGTAGACACGGCAGGGGACGAGGCCTGGCCGAAACACTTAAAAGAAGGCTGCTCTCCAGAGGAGTCGTCTGAAGCCCCGTTTTCCTTTTTCTGATGCTCCTCGTAGGAACGCATGGATTGCAGGGCCAGCTGTTTCCTGCGCGCAAGGAGCTAGGTTATTATAGGTGGTAGCCACAGTTCAGGTTAAAAAACATAACAAATAATGCAGAAGCTTAGTAAGATTATTTTAATTCAAAAGATTTATGACTTTAGAATTAGCCTATAGATTTAGAGTAATCTTGTGAAGAGTCGGACCCCCTGCGGTTAATGTGGAAGCTTAGACGTAGTTTTAATCCAGCAAGATCACTGTCTGTCTACATGTAGCCTAAATGCAGTAAGTCTTTTCTCCCTTTATTTTCACGTATATTCACGTTTTTCCCTCTAGCTTACCTCTTTTCCCTTCTCCCATTGCCCGTGTCACGGAATCCTTTAGCAAATGGATTATGGTCGATTTTCAGCTGCGTTATCTGAAATAATTGAAACTGTGTGTAAATAACAGTAAATAGGAAAGGAAACATCCCTAAAAGTCATTCAGTGCCGCTTTAAGCCAGTTATTGTTCCAACTTTACAAGACACAATGATCACTGGTCCCAAAGGCCAAAGTTTTGTGGAACTTATTTTTGGGGGTTTTAGAGGTAAAACCACACGCGATAAACAAAAAGACGCATGAACACAAAGAAAGCAGGAGTCCTACTATTGGCACGTTTCTCCACGAGTGTGAAGTATGCAGCGTTGTTTGTGATTTTTGCAAAACTTTATTCACTCACCACTTCCCCTCCAGCTGGCAGTGATAGAACTGCAGATGGGAGGGCAGATGTGGTGCCAAGGGGTTTCCAGCTCTTCCAAAGAGCCACTGAGACGATTTTGATTTTATTTTAATTTATTCTTTTTCTTACAAAAAATAAAACGCTACCATGCACTACAGTCTGAAGCAATTTCCCTCTTTTCCCCCTTTACGTTTCTTCGCCCCCCTGTACACACACTGTAGCTGTACACACCACACACACACACACACACACACACACACACACACACACACACAATAACACACACAAAAACACACACACACACACACACACACACACACACACACACACAGCTTCTGGCTGGACAAGCAGCTCAGGACAAAAACTCTGTTTGTGTGAAGTCATTAACAGCCAGCGGACATCCAGACGCCTGCAGCAGACAAGCAGTCTGCTCTGTTCTACACATAAGCTCTGCTTTTTAGTAAAAAGTAAAAAAACAAAACAACT